CATAGATTGGTCTATTAATGTCTATTCAAAAATAAATATCATTTATCACCTGGGTCATGCATAAGAATAAATCATATATTTTGGCTTGGTGAACCCACCCATCATGACTTAATGTTGTATTTAAGCCAAAATACCATGATTTACTGAAGAAAAAAATATTATTCCTAGATAAGAGGATATATGATTACAGCTGTTATCTCAAATTCCTTGAGATTTGGGAACAACATATGCAAGTATCTGTGGCTTACCTAAGTCAATGTAATTGAACTGATAAGCAATGAGAAATAAGTTGTCCTGATCAAGCACCTTAATCTCAGGAACTGATTTAAGGATGGATACATTACAGGGGTAGGATCTACCAGTTTGGACCGGTAGCTCCGACTATCAGCTGGGAGCGAATGGTTTGCTCTGACAATCAGATCGGCCCAACCACTTTATTTACCTTTATCTTCTCAGCTGATTGGCACGGCAGAACAGATTGCTGAGCCTCAGCTGTGTTTCTCCCAAGTGGCAACACAGAAAGTATTTGTAAAACTGTGCATGCAAAGCGTGTGTGTGTGCACGAAGCATGCGATCACCAAACCAGTTGTTAAACCAGCAGCATCCCACTACTGGATACATAAGACAACAGAGGGAGGAAGTTTCATGAAATGATTTGTGAAAGTGCCTATCTATGAATACTACACACATTATAAGAATGGAATAGAATTTGCCCCTTTGCAAATTTATGGAGGCATTTTTCAAATGCTTCCACAAGTACTTTCATAGACATCAGAAACCTGTCAAATATCATTTCAAAACAGTGGATCTTAAAATCCTTGTCCCGATTTCCAGCAGCAAGTTTACAAAGAGAAACTGGACTACTATATCAGTCTTTTTCAAGCTGGCACTTCTGGGTGTGTGGTCTTTTAACTCTCAGAATTTTCCAGCTACCATGGCCTTTGCTGAGATTTCTGGGAGAGGAAAGTTCACTTATCTGGAGAGTACTCAGGTTGGGGAAAATTGAGTTAGGACATCACAATAAGTGAGAAGCAAGCAGAATAAAATTAGATAGAAATGAGGTGAAGTCCATTCAAAGGGAAAGGCAGCAAAAGACTTTAATAGAAGACAGGTCATTTTTTTAAAAAAATCAGGAATAAGGTAAATAAGTCCTCTACTTTTCAAGATAATGTCTGTTTATGTATATAGATGGGTAATAGTTACATATATATGTTACAGATCAGCTTTTAAAGTCAAGTATAGGCTGGAGGAATACATCTGAAAGACATATTTGTATAACAATAATCTGTCCATATACTGCATTACAATTATGAAGAGGTGAGCAGATTTGACCTAAATAACTACTGGGCACATATACCTAAAAATAATTCTGCACAGAACAAAATGCTTTAAGGTTTAAATAAAATTCAGATCTTTTTCCTAATCTCAGTTTACCTCGTGATAAATTTATGTACTTTTTTTTTTTTTTGCATGACTGATCTCTATTTTGTAATATTTTCTGTCATATCCCTTTGCTTCTTCAAAACCAAAGACACCACAGTGGGTAGTTATTTTAATACTTTTGCACTCTCTATTGTCAAGGCAACGCTTTCGATGACCTTCCCACATTTCATGATAAAATTGGACTATCAGATATATATTAGAGTATCTGATTGCACAGTTGCACGAATGCCAACAAGTGAAAATATTTATACAACTTCATAGCTTGATGATTCTCAGTAGAACATACCTCCCCCTTGAATGCTTGATTTCTCTTTCCACCTCCATATCCATTTCTTTGAATTATGTTTGTTGTAGGGACCAAGAACTTGTTGCTTCATTTGCCAACATTTCAGGGTTCAGAAAAGCATTTTCTTCCTGAGACATGCCCTTGGGATCCAGGAGAAAAAAGAATCAGTGTGGCTGAGAAAATTACTACTCCCATTTCTTCAGCTGAATCCTCTTTCAAATAAATTAAGCCTCCAGAAAATCAGAATCTGATTTTGGATTGTCAGATCTTGAGTAGCCTACTGGACTTTACTTTAGCAAGCAGTAAGTCTTTCCTCTGTGGATATTTGGATTCTTTGGAGAGGCATTGACACAGAGTGGTACAGCGTTGAAATTACATGCGAGAAATTGTTCTCACCTTTGATTGTAACTTGATTCTTACCTTTCTTGAGACAGTTCTTTGCAGATGCTACTAAAATGACTTCATAAATTGTGCATACTTGTGAATTCTGTGGGCTTTCCCCCTGTGAAATACCATAAACTTAAACTTCATATTTTATCCTTTTTTTACTTAAAAAGCATGTATAAGTGTTCTGGACATTTCATTTGTGATATTTCAACCTCACTTTTAAATCTTCTATTAAATCATATCCAGATCATATCATGTATCATTTTAAAATCACATATAAATAGAAGATCAGTTGTCAGTTAAAATCTTCCATATTTTACATACAGTATTTCAACATGTCTTGGCTTACTACACATAATGCTGTCCCAGTACACCCAGTGTGGGCTGGGTCATACATGATACTGAATCATGTAGTTGTTGGGTTTTGACTTAATATGTTACATGAATCTAACTATTGTAATTTATATACCCTAGTTTGGCCTAAAATATTGTGTGAACCTAGGCAATTAGGATTTATGGTTAAATGAAGAATGACTTCACAGAATGTGAGTTTCATTGATAATTCATTTCGGCTGCATGATAACAGGGACATTTATGTATCATGGTAGGGTAGAGCTATCTAACATGGGTTGCAAAAACATAAACAACCATTAGATGGCAGCAAGGAGATATAGTGGGCAACTGATATTTGTACCACAGCCATGGTAATGTTAGCCACACACACACAAACACATACTGTTTGCAATTCTTGCATTTCATACATGCAAGTTGAATTGGGGTGAAATGTGTGAGGAGAGACCATAGATCCTGCATTTAGTAAACAATGGTTTTTATCCTGATAGGGCCAATGCACTTCTTTTTTTAATTAATTAAAACAAAACAGAATAGTAAGCAATTAATGTTGCTTAATGTGGACCCAAATACTGGACTATAATGTGTCATAGGTTCCTCAGCACCATGTAATAGCGGCATCCCAAAACGAGAAGAATAGATGAGTATGGATATGACATTCTCTTCCTGTCCTTGTGGTGAATGGAATGGAGGGGAGGGTGAGGGAAGGGAGAGGAGAGGAGGGGAGGTTAGTTCTACAAAGCTCCCACTTCTCCTAAAACTCAGAATCTTTGTGATTAGATCATAAGGAACTAGCTATAAATCAAACCATTGAAATCCTAACCCTGTCTACTGTAGGATTTCAATAGCATTTAGTCCGATGAAAAAGATCCCTTTATAGCAGGGGTGGGCAAATGTGGCCCTTTTACAACCTGTGGACTTCAACTCCCAGCTGCCAAGCTGTCTCAGGAATTCTGGGAGTTGAAGTCCACAGGTTGTAAAAGGGCCACATTTGCCCACCCCTGCTGTATAGTCATAGTCTATCCAGAGCCTTTTTAAGTGGAGATACCGAGGGTTGAATCTTGGATCCTTTGCATACAAAGCAAGTGTTTTGCCACTGAGCTATGGCTCTAAACAGTTATTAAATGTATGATGATATTGAGGATCACATACAGCACAATTCTTACTGTGGATGGTTTTTTTCTATGGCCTGAAACTGTCACCTACTAATGAAACTAATATTTTAATTGTGGGTAAGAACACACACACACACACACACACACACACACACACACACACACACACACTGCTAGTCTTGTGACTGTAATAAAAGGAAATACAAAACTCCATATAATCAAAAGAGTGCAGCCTCCTCAGCTGCTGCTAATTTGGGGGAAATTAAATTACAATTCATTTTAATTAGATTTAAATTAAGCCTGATAGCTTTAAGCATGGATAAAGCAGAAGTGGGAAGATGATAAAATCAGATAGACAGACAGACGGATGGTTAGATAGATAGATAAAAAGCTAGGCTTATAAGAAATTAATGTTTCTTAATTGTGTGGGTTTTTTTTTTTTTTTTTTTTTACAATGACCATTTTTCACTTGGCACCTCTTATATATGTTCTCTCAGCACCTACAACAAAATCCATATCCTCAGTCCAACAAAGATTACACATCGGAATTGCTCCCAGAGTAACACTGGGCCAGTTGTTTTCTGTCAACCCCGCTTGCCTTACAGGGATGTTATTATGAAGAAAAAGGGACCCTTGTGTTTTGTTTTTTTAATTTGATTTATATGCCGCCCTTCTCCGGAGACTCAGGGCGGCTTACAATGTGCTAAGCAATATTGGCTGTCTTGATTTTCTAGAGCAGGGATGTCAAACTCAATTTCATTGAGGGCCGCATCAGGGCTGTGGTTGACCTCGGAGGGGCCGGGAGGGCATGGCCGACTGGGTGGGTGTGGCCAATTGGGTGGGCTTCGTCAGCTTGACACTACGCCCCAAACATGCCCCAAACTGCTGGCATATTTCCTCTTTGCATTGAGTAGACCAGGCCAAAGCGACGCAGGCCGGCCCCTTATATTTTCCAGGATGGCCCTGCGGGCCGTATCCTACCCGCAGGCATTGTGTTTGACACACCTGTTCTAAAGGATTGTGGGAATATAAAGTTAATAAATACAGGTAGTCCACTACTCACAACAGTTTGTTTAGTGACCATTCGAAGTTACAACGGCACTGACTTTCTGACAAGCAAAGTCAATGGGGAAGCCCACTTAAGAACAATGTTACTAACTGCAGTGATTCACATAACAACTGTGGCAAGAAAGGTCATAAAATGGGGCAAAACTCATTTAACCATCTCACTTAGCAGAAATTTTGGGCTCAATTGTGGTCATAAGTCAAGGACTACGTGTACTATTACTTTGCTTGGTTTTTTTTTTCCTTTGGGTAGTAAATCAGCATAAACCAAGTAACATAATCATGATAATGTTGGTAAGAAATAGTATTACATATTAATTCTATGTTCCATGTCTTTTCCTTCTTTTTAATAGGTAATTAAAGTATATAGTGAGGATGAAACCAGCAGAGCTTTTGAAATACCAAGTGATATAACAGCCCGAGATTTGTGCCAGTTGCTAATACTAAAGAATCATTATGTTGATGATCATAGCTGGACCCTCTTTGAACGTCTCACTTATTTAGGTCTTGGTAAGTATCACTTGCTTTTAAAAGCAGCAATATTTGTTGGGTATCTCTAATGGAGTGGAAAATTGAGGAGGCAGATAGTAAGTCTACAATGTTAGAGGCATTTGTATCCATTAGAAACAATGTGGTAGGATTTACTTGCAAATGCATATGCTCACACCAAGGACCTTAATCCTCAAATGCCCAGATTATAAAAAAATGAGCTAAATCCTCCCCTGGCAGCAAATCAGGACAATTTATGGTAAATCCCACCCTGTCGTAATGTCACTGCACAAACCCCTCTTTTTACACGTCTATATCAGGATGTCACTGCAAGACAGAGCTTCCATAGTGATACCACTTCACATGCTCATATGCTGCATATCTTGTTTCTTGTGTGCTACCCCCCCCCCAAAAAACCCCAAAACTAACAAAAAAAACCCCAAAATCCAACAACCCAGGCCTTTTCACACAGCTGGTTTTGTTTTCTGTTGGTAATTGTTGTCAGTTGCTGGCTGAGGAAAGTCTTTAGATGCTTGTTTTCCCTAGCAAGGAACAATCAAAACACCATATATTTATGTATATATTTAGTCTTTTGCTTGGATTTTTTGGGGAAAAAAAATTATGGGAATCAAGTTTTGTCAGTTGACTTCATTAGTTACTGGTATATTGTAATGTGGACACCCACCCCAGAAACCAAATAGTTTTCCCTATTACCAAGGCTATCCGCATTCAGCTCTTCTTTAAATCTTGTCCTTTTGTTTAAGAACACCTTGCTTTTTCTGTTTACTTATTTATTTATTAAATTGATATGCTGCCCATCTCGTTAGCGGGCAACTCAGGGCAGTTTATAAGAGAATAAAAGCGAGAATATAGAGACATTAAAACATTAAAAGCATTGCAAACATTAAACAGGTATTGGCTAAAACTCAGAACCAGTACACAAACGAAATGGAGGTGGCTCTTTCTTAGTGCATTAGCCACCCCCAGCATGGGACACCCCCATCTGGGCTTCAAGCCAATCAACCAGGGATAGGTTTTGAGACCCTTTTGGAAGGCCAACAGAGTGTGGGTGAATTTTGCCTCCAGTAACATGATGTTCCAAAGAGTGGGGCCATAGCAGAAAAGGCTCGTCTTTACTCACGGTTACTATCCCTAAATATTAGTTAGTTTAATAATCAGAAATCTGCAGCATTCTTTGGCTTGATGCAAATGAATAATAATAATATTTCCTGCTGTTGTGATATGAAAACACACAAAACTTTACTGTAAACTTGATTGAATATAGCTTTAAAAATAGGAGACAAAAGACCTCCTCCTTCCAGTGTCTGGGGGGAAATTGGACAATTTGGGCTCTGCTTTTGGCATGAAGTATCCATACTTGGCAGCTTTGCGCTATCCACTTCAGTCCCTGCCCTTAGCCTCACGTATAGTTTGTTCCCATCCAACATTTTCCAATTTCTGGCTTGCAAGGAAAGATGAGATTCACTCTGGGTAAAAAGCTAGAGTGAGATTTTAATTTGAGCAGGATAATAATTAAGTAATCCCACCATGTTTACCCTCCAACTCTTTCATCATAGTTATCCGCCTGGGAAATAGGTTGAATTTCTGAAAAACAGAATTAAGTTTCTGTTAATTCTTAACAGAATTAAGTTCCCAGCAAGATATTCCAAATTCACTCTTAGGTGCTTATTAATTCATTTACTTTATTTACACACTGTCTCTTTCCACATGATCTGTGTTGTGTTTTGCTGACTAATCCATTCAGTTATTTAGAAATGTGTTCTCATGAAGAACCAATAATAGAAGAGACAAAATTCTGGAGAACATGGAGGAAGCAAGAGGAGGTTGGATTTGTTGAGAAATCAGGTTTCAGAGATTGAGTGCACACTTTTACCAATGTAGAGTTTGCCTGAAATTACATCATTTTTGTTGCTAAAATGTCCTAACAGTTTGTGGAAAACAATCCTAGTATTGGCCCCAATAAGGTAAAATTCACCCACCTGTGTTCTCAATAGATATAGTTCATTCTTATTCCCAATGTGTGGAATATATTATGGTTTCCATCTCTGATAATTATATCTACTGTTGATCAAGACTTGCTCCTAATTGTAGCATGATGCATTTGTATTGTGCCCACTAGAATGTGTGTGGATAGGTGTGCATGCACTACACATATGTGAATTCTATAGTTTTGCAGTTATATTACTGAACTAGCCAGGAAGGATAGCTGGAGCCCTGAAAGAGGAAGTCTTTTTTTTTATTTATTTACAGAACTTCTATAATTGTGTTTATACACTGAAGTGGTACATATGATTATTAAGATTAAAGAAAATAGACATTTAAAATGCGGCAGCCAAATAGTATAAAATATGGTACTTTCCTTCTCCTTTTTCTCCCACTCATTGCCACACTTAATGACAAACAACAACTTACTATGCATGTCTGAGTTCCAAAATAATTTAACTGGTCAAACAAGCTAAGCCAATTCAGAAGAGTTTTCCTCAAGTCCAGTTGCATTAAAGATTCAAGAGATACAGATCACAGAACATTCTAGCATTCATATTCTCCATGGGTATCTTCTCCAGCATAAGTATACTTTTGAAGTGGCAGTTCACTTTAATAACAGAACTAAAACGTATGAAGGAAAAGAAAACTTAATGCTGTTTTTGCACCTATTAATGCACAGATTAGGCTTTTAAATGTCACTTATTTCTCCTTGCCTGGAAAAGGAGAGAATACAATAAGGGTGCTGCATGAATCAGATCAAACACATTTTTCAGACTTGTTTCTAAAGAAGAAGCTGAGAGAGGAAGTCTTGAAGTGAACCTGACTGAACACAGGTACATGACCATGTTCATGAATAGCGATAAAGAAAGCAAAACATGTTTATTTCTCCTCTTTACTGCATTGGAGGACTGTTATCCAGTGGCCCTGTATGGTAATGAATTCCCATCTGGGCAGTGGTGAAATGTAAAATTTGTTACTACCAATTCTGTGGGCGTGGCTTGGTGAGGTAATGTGACTGGGTGGGCGTGGCCAACTTTTTTTTTTTTTTACTTTTAAAAGCATTTTTTCTACAACCTCTTTGGCCGAAAAAATTGTAAAAAAAATGCTTTTAAAAGACTCTGACGATCCCAGCTGAGTTGCCTGATCGTCAGAGGCATTTTTTTTTTGCTTTTAAAAGCATTTGAAGAAAAAATGCTTTTAAAAGTAAAAAAAAAAAAAGCCTCTGATGATCATGTGGCTCAGCTGGGCATGGAGGGTGGCAGGGATTTCTGCTACCGGTTCTCCGAACCACCTACTGCCATCGCTACCGGATCAGGTGATCCGGTCTGAACCGGGAGCATTTCACCCCTGCATCTGAGGTAAAAAAAAGTCCCCTCCAGTTGCTATGTCCAGTTTGTGAAGCATTGTACTAATAGTCACTCAGATTCACTATAGCCTTGACTTCCTATGGACAGATTCTTTGGTGGTGACTGAGGCATTACCCTGTTATTTGAGACCCCCTTGGTCTTATGACTTCCAAAGAATTGGATAAGATGCTGCCTCAGTTGCCCTGTGCCATGGGTCTCCCAGCTTGTACAGGGAGGGGAATGGTTACTAGTTGGGCTCTGGGAATTCTCAATTCCGCCTTCTGAAGAAGCCATCCCTAGACCTAGTGATGTTAGACAACTATATGTTGGGAAAAGGTTGTTGAGGAAGTGGATTATCTGGCGTCCGCAATGGTGCAATGCAGTGGCGCAGTGGTTAGAGTGCAGGACTTCAGGCTACTTCTGCTGACTGTGGCTGACTGCAAATTTGGCAGTTCAAATCTCACCAGGCTCAAGGTTGACTCAGCCTTCCATCCTTCCAAGGTGGGTAAAATGAGGACCCAGATTGTTGGGGGCAATATGCTGACTCTGTAAACCGCTTAAAGAGGGCTGTAAAGCACTGTGAAGTGGTATAGAAGTCTTAAGTGCTATTGCTATTGCTTTTCAGTCAGGATTCAGGCCCAGTTTTGGGGTGGCATTGGTATCCTTTTGGACTGCCTGCAGGGGTTGGGGGCTGGAGACATTATTTCAGTAGTTTCACTCCTGCCATGTGGGGTATGCCTCTGCCTTTCCCGAGGTCTGGATGGGAGAAAACAGATTGAAACTGAACCCTAGCAAGTTGGAGTTGCTGATACATCAAGAACCCCTGTTACTACCAGAGTTACTCCTTCTTGGGCAAGCACTACCTATTGGCCAATAGGTTCATGACTTGCGGTACTGCTGGACTCACAGCTTCTTCTGCATCAACTTCAGTTGGTGTACCATTGAAGCCTTACTTAGGGCGGGAGGACTCGACAGCAGCAATTCATGCTCTTATTTCCCCTGCCTAGACTACTATAATGTACTTCATTTGGGGTTTTCCTTAAAGAAGTTTGGAAACCACCATTGGTTCAAAAATGCAAGAGCTTCCCTACTTTCAGATTCCAAATATTGGGAACACAGCAACAGTTTCACGAATGCTGCATTGGTTGCCAATTAATTTTGGGTTCAATTGAAGGTATGGGTTTCGGCTTATAAATGCCTTCATGGTTTGGCATCCAGATACCTTCAGGACTGCCTTTTCCCACCAACTTCAGTTTGACAAATTTGATCTAGAAGGCAGAAATTGCTGTAAGTTACCCATAACATTTCTCATAACATTTAATAACAGATAATATCTCATAACATTTGGAGGCCAGAGGTCCCATTTTTCCAATAGTGTTTAAGAGCTTCCTTATAGAGATCAGGCTGGCATCCTCTTGGTTGGCTTTTCTCAAGCTTCTAAAGACCTTTTCCCTTGATCTGAGTTTTTGTTGCCCTTTATTCTCTTTCTATTCTAGTGTTGTTGCAGTTTTATTTTTATATGAAATTTGTTTTATATTGTATTTTTCTCTCTAAGCCACAGAGATTTGTTTTGGATTGTACATGTAGTCCTTGACTTACAAATGTTTAGTGACCATTCAAAGTTACAACAGCACTGAAAAAAAAATGACTTATGACCATTTTTCATAC